ATCAAATTGTAAATTTTGTCTTGCTGGACACTAGCCTAGAAGTTCTCTCTGGCTGTAAACTGGGGTGAGTACAGGCTCCTTTCTCATCCCCTCAGTCCTGCCTGCTGCTTGAGGTCTGAAAACTACTGTTTCATATGTTTTCTGGTCTTAATTTGTTTAAGGCAGGAGAATAAATTTGGTACCTGTTTCTCCATGTTAGCTGGAAGAAGATATTACTCATCCTGTTATTCTTTAAGTTATTGTCAGGGAAAATTGTGAAAGACTTTCAAATGGGCATAAAAGATTAGAGGTGCCCTGTCCCTGTTCGGGTTATCTCTGTCTTTAATGATCTCTGAGCTGTTTTACAGTTCTGTGAATTCTAAACACCAGCAGTGATGCAAAGATTCTTGACCTCAAGAACACCAGTGTCGGGCTTCCCTGGTGGCGCAGTGGTTAAGAATCCACCTGCCAATGCAGGGGACACGGGTTCGAGCCCTGGTCCGGGAAGATCCCACATGCCATGGAGCAACTAAGCCTGTGTGCCACAACTACTGAGCCTGCGCTCTAGAGCCCGCGAGCACAGCTACTGAGCCCGCGTGCCACAACTACTGAAGGCTGCGTGCCTAGAGCCTGTGCTCTGCAACAAGAGAAGCCACGGCAATGAGAAGCCCACGCACTGCAGCAAAGGGTAGCCCCCACTCGCCGGAACTAGAGAAAGCCTGCGCGCAGCAACGAAGACCCAACACAGCCATAAATAAATAAATAAATAAATACTATTATTATTATCTTTTTTTAAAAAAAGAATGCCAGTGTCTGGTGGCGCACAGCTCATTCCTGGCCAGTCCTACATCCCTTCTGCAAATTCGTCTCAGCACCGCAGACAGCAGAGCCCATATGTTTGCTCTTTGGATTCTTCTTTGAACCAGTTCTAACATCTTACTGGATCTCTCATTAGTAAATAACAAATATTTATTATCTCAATAGAAAATCATCAATACTTGCTCATTTTTCATGTTTGGATGTGAGCCAGCGTCATACCTGTTCTATAATTTATCTATAGCATTACAATAAATTTGAAACAAGCTAAGGGCCATTGATAGAAAAATGACTTTAAAACATGATGGCCTATCCATCCATTTGATGAAATACCCTGAAGCCATTAAAAGAGAGTGTATATTAACCTACAGAGAAAGATTTCCCAGTTTACCAAACAAAGAGTAAGATGTCCAAGTGCGCTGACCTGCGACTGGCTAAGGAAGGGACCTTTTCCCCGGGACACACAGACATTAGACGTGAGGGTGTGACATCAAGCACAGGCAGAATGGGGGTGGGGACACTTATTTATCTCCACTGCTTTGTGCTGTTTCCTCACTGTTGTTCAGCTGAGAGCTGAGCACACACCACGTGCAGACACACTCCAGGCTCTAGGGATGCAGCAGCAGGATGGGCCCTGCCCCAAGTGCACCGTCTCTGTAAACTGGAAAGTTAAAATAGACCTCCCACCAACCTGGCCTGCAGTCACGAGGATTAGTGACCATCAGAGGCAGAACGGCTGCGCCTGCCCGTCCTCAGGTCTGGCTGCAGCCTCGTCCAGGGCCTTCCTGAGGACCCTGCAAGCTGGTTCCTGCAGCCCAGCCCAGAGCAGCCCTAGGCCACCCTGGGCCGTTTCCGGCTGTATCTTGGCAGCACCGCGGAAGTTCCCGAGGGCGGGGTATCTGGCCCCTCCCCTCTGGCCCCCAGCACCCTGCACGGCGGCTGGCACCTCCCAAGCCATGGTCTCTTCCTCTTTGTATAAGGGCACTGATCCCATGACGGCCCCACCCTCATGACTTCACCTGAACGTAATCACCTCACAAAGGACCCGCCTCAAATGCCATCACAATGGGGATGAGGCTCCAGCATATGAATTTGGGGGCAGAGGTGGAGGCCGCATGTGCAGAATACAAGTTCAGAGAGTGACGAGTCCACAGGGCAAGATAAGGCTGGGGGAGGCCAAGAGGGTGACCGGGAGGGGCCTCTCAGGACGAGGAGAGTGGGGCGGGGGGGCAAGGCAGAGGCCCAAACCCCAGGCGTGCCTGGGAACAGAGCAGGCACAGAGGGAGGCAGCGGGGTGAGTGGGGCCGCCTGGAGGCCCCGCATGGACCCTGGGCCCTCAGCCCAGGAGACGGGAAGCAGGAGAGCAGCAGGACCTGGCTTCCATTTGCAGGGCGCTCCGCTGCTCACAGAGAAAGGACGGGGGTGTGGCGGCCTCGAGGGAGATTCCCGAGGGACCATGAAGGGGGCTGGCAAGGCTGCCGCTGGCCTGGAAGTGGGTGAGGGTCGCTGGCGATGGTTCCAGGAGTCTGAGGCCTGGGGAGAGGTCAGAGCTGGGATGGGCACAGAGGGCAGGGAAGCATGGGGAGGCCAGCAGGGGTGAGGCCAGGCTCTGCGTCTTCTGGAAGGCTGACCACCCTCTCTGGTGCTGTGGCCACGTTCGGGACAGAGCACACGAAAATCTCAGTTCAGAACTAAGGATGGGAACATAAACGGTATTTCCTCCTGTCCCTGCATTTTTACGGTGATCAAGTTTGACAAAAAAGCAAAAATTACTCCAAGGGTTCTAGAAAACATGAAGGTTGTATTCAGTTCTCCTGTTTATAAAAGCAGGTCATTAAAAGCCTACTTTGAAAAATATCATAACCGCATAACAGAAACTCTAGGATTTTTTTTAAAAAAGTACAGCCACCCAGCTCCCCGTGTCTCAAGGCCCCGCCCCCTGGGCCCTGGGCCAGCGCCAGCCTTGCGCTGGGTGGGGCTGCTCGGCTCCCCGACCCACAGCTGCTGGGCTGCGGGCAGGGGGCTGGGCACCCCACTGACCAAGTCCGCCCAAGAAAGGCGGCGGGGGGGGGGGCTTGTGTTAAAATCTTACTTTTAAGAATTGCCACTGAAATTCCTTCCTCCTCAAGAGGCTTCTGCTCACAAACCGGGAAGAGCGTCCCGCAGCTCTCATCACTCCTTACGTTCTATTCCCTTTGCCAAGGCGGAGTGTTCCAGAAAGGACGCGGGCGCCCTGCACACCGACCTCGAGAGAAGCACCAAGCTGCCTACCCGCCGGTCGGTCTCTGGTTCCGGAAACAGCCCGACACGGCTGAGTGTGCAGCCAGGAGGCTCAGAAAGGAGGAGGTCTGTGTTTCCTGGGGGTCAGAGTTCACAAAAAGTGGAGCCGCCGCCCTCTGAACTCACCCCCAGCCCACCGGCTACTCACTGTCCTAACTGCACCGAGGCTCCAGGTCGTCAGTAGAACAGGAGGGAAAAGGAAGGCTGGACGTGAGCCCCGCGCCTTCAGTCTGGGGCCTGTCAAGTCGGCGTCTCACGCCGGCTCCCCGTGACCGATCCCAGGGGCCTCTCACCGAGGGCAGCCCAGCGCCCGAACAGGCCTCCCACCTGCATCCTTGAGGCCGTCACCGCCAAGACCCCTCCCAGCCCGGAGCCAGGCCCGCTACCCACCACATCTCACACCCTGTGCTCCTCAGGCACTGCCAAGGCCCAGCCATGAAAAACAAACGAACAAACATGACAGCTGTTCTGGCCGAAACTAACACAGACCAGGGAACAGACAGAGCTGGACGGATGGCTCCGGCCACACACCAGGGCCTCTCCACGGCCACAGGCAGAGGGAGCCGCTGGAGCCGGACCGCGCCCCCGAGGTGAGCCCTCGACCAGGAAGGTGGTCTCGCCCTGCCCCCTTGGACAGCTGCCTGCCTGGAGCTGACGTAACAGCTGCCAGGCCAGGCTTCGGCCGGGGCCCTGAGGCCAGCTCTGCACCTGGGCAGGGCAGAGTGTGGGGAAGGAAGAGCTCAGAACCCCCAGGTGATGGGGAAACGAGCCCCACTCACTACCACAGACACCCCCGCCACGGCCTCTTGCCAACCCCACCCTCCGGGGCCTCAGATGCTCCCCAGGGACCCGCCTGCCCTCCCAGCCGAGACCACCGCCCGCCTCCAAATAGCCCAGGCAGACACACCTCATTGGACTCTTCCCTCTGGATCCGGCTGCATCTCCAGGGTGGGAGCAGAACCCGCACCCCACCCCTATCCCCACCAGTGGTCTGAGCATCTGGTGGGGTCAGGCGTGGACAGCTCAGACCAACAGATTTGACAGATGGCCACCCCCCAGTGCCAGCAGGGACGGCAGGAGCCCAGGGCTGCCCAGTGGCCCATGTGTCCCACATGGGATGGTCAGGACACCGAGCGCCCCTGAGGGGACCCGCCAGGTGCCACCCCTCAGCCCCTGGGGTCTCAGCAGCCCTGAGGCTTGCCCCCAATATCCACACTTCCTCCTGTTCACAGAACACACGTGCTGGGCTCGTCACTCGGTCCCTACCCCAGGCTCTGCGGCCACACTGGCCTCCTGGTGGCCCACAGTCAGCCTGCAGCCCCGCTGAGCGGGATGCCCTACTCGTCCACCAGTTCCCAGAGTGGCCTCTCAACGCCCCATCAGGGTCCCACGCGTGCCGCCAAGGACCCCGATACTGCGAGGCTGGTCCTCATAGGGGGACGTCTGAGCTGGTCCTGGCTGTGCTCCTCGCCTGTCCCCGTGGAGCACAAGTTCCAGGAGCAGAGTCCTCTGTCATCCCTCCAGAGCGGCCCCCCCGGCATCCAGGACAGAACTGACCACAGACGAGGGGCCCAACCAACAGCTGCTCCACAGAAGGTGCCGGGAACTAGCCGCTCGTCCCGACAGGCTTCCCCCAGAGCCTCCGGCCGGCATCCACCCGCCAGCCGGTCACCGTGCTTTCTGCCCAGAACCCAGGGCGCCCCGAAAGGCACCCAAATGTCCCCGCCAGCTTTCGACAGCCTCCCCTCCGACAACCAGAGACCCCGGCCGGGGTGGGGGCATCTGAGAAGGGAGGGGCCTCCGAGGAGGAACCGGGAAGTGGATGGGACCCCCCGGCTGCCTGCGCGAGGCCACAGGACGAATCGTGATCTCTCGCAATGTGAGCCGCTCCCCTCCCGCGGGCCCGGCCGCCACGGGGCTCTTACCTGATAAAATTCCCGCAGCCAGTTCTTCTGGAGGTTTTCTGGCTGTAAATTAAGAAGAAAAGACAGTCAGGCCAGTGACACAGCCCTGACGTCCGCGAGCAGACGCCAACGTGATGGCCCACCTGCCGTCCTCATGGGGGCTAGGGCGCGACACGGGGCGGAGGACACCCTGCTCCACTCGGGAGACCCCATTCTGCACGGGGAGCTGGTCCACAGCTCGTCCAGGGAAAAGGGGCAGAGCGAGGACAAGCCTCGCCTGGTGATGGGCAGGCGCCACAGCCCTGGATCCAGAGCTGACCTCCAGCCCTGCTCTGTCCCCGGGGCGGGGGGTGGGGTGGGGGGCTTGGGAGGGGCTGCCCGCAGCCAGGCGGGGGTGTCCGGCAGGACCTAGCGGCAGGGGGCCCGGGCCAGGCTCTGAGAACGTGGAAAGAGCCACGCGGCACCAAGTGCTGGTTTCGGGCTTGCGGACACCCCAGGACACAGCCAACACAGAGTGCCCGGTCCCTGAGAAAACAGGACGCCGCCTTTTCCCACACGGCCTGCCAGGGTCCTGGACCACCAGGCCAGCCAGCCGAGTGAGGGGCATGGTCCAACCCAACCCAACGAGGCCAAGGCGCTAGAGGTCACGGCAGGCCTGGACAGAGACGGGAGACACGGCAGGGACGTACGTCCAGTGGGTGCAGTTTCAGACACGGGAAATGAAAAGTTCCTGAGATCTGGCAACATCAGTGTGAATGTCCCTGACACTGCTGGACCACGCTTAAGAACGGCGAAGATGACAAATCTAATGTTACGTGTTTTCTACCACAATTCGAAACAAAAAAAACAAAACCCCACCCACCACGTCTCAGGACTCAGACCCCTGCTCCGAGCAGAGCTCTGGACGGCGAGGCTGTGGGCCCGGAGCCAGAGTCCAGGTTGACCACGGCTGGGCCCAAACGCGTCACCCATGGCCCACGAAGCCAGAGTGCACGGCTGCCACACGGGAGGTGCTGTCGCCCGCTGATGCTTCTGTGTGTCCCGAGGGCAGGTAGCCTGCACTGCAGGCTGAGCAACGAACAAAGGGAAAACGGCTGGGAAACCAGAGCCTCGCAGACCACACAGGAGGGTGTAGAGGAGGCTCCACACATCCGCGCAACAGAGACGGAGGCCAGCGTCCAGCCGGGTGTGGGGCCTTCCAGTCTCCAAGGCCAAGTTCGGGGCCGGGGCCCAGCCTCCAGCCCCCACGTCCTGCACGGGGAGGAGGGCACGCCGTGCCTCTGTCTGTCACCCTCCCAGGTGAGCAAAGAAAAGCACGAGCAGGCAGGCCGCCCACGGAAAGACCGGGCAGAGGCTCTGAACAGACTGACAGCCAACAGCCCATGGAAGATGCCAAACATCACTAGGCGTCAGGGAAACGCAAACCCGAACCACGGCGAGATGCCGCCCCACAGCCCGGGACGCTGACACAGAGACAAGTCTGGGGAGACTGCACAGAAGCGGACCCTCAGACACGGCTGGGGGCGGGGGAGGAGGGTGCGGGAGGCGCGGCTGCTGTGGGAAACGGTCTGGCGCTTCCTCAAAACGCCGGCTGGCCCAGCGATGCGCCCAAGAGACGTGGAAACGCTTGTCCAAGCAGAGGCTCGGCCACGAGCACTTGTAGCCACGGAATCCCGGCAGGCGAAAGGCAGGAACTGCCCAAAGGCCAGCCCAGCATGCACGGAGAGACAAAACGTGGTCCAAGAGAACACGACGGCCACTGACATGGCCCACGGCGTGGACGAGCCTCAAAACACTGTGCTCAGTGAAAGAAGCCCGTCACCAAAGGACAGATGACGTCTGATGCCGGTTCACGGAACTCCAGAACAGGCAGGTCCGCAGAGACAGGCAGCAGACTGTTGCCGGGTCCCGGGTGTGGCTGAGGGGTGGAGGCGGTGACGGCGGCACAGCTCTGAGAGCACGGAGAGCACCGCGCACCCCTCTCCCACCGACCCGAACGATCCCCCACCTGAACCAGGGACGCGGGGCAACCCGCGCCATGGCGAGGACGCGAGCAGGGATGGCCAGTCAGTCGGCCTTGGGCCCCGGGGTGATCAAAGAAAGAAGACTTCGAGTGCAAAGGTCCCAGATGCCCTGACCAGGAGCGAGTGAAAGGGGAGGGCAGCCCCCCACCCCTGTCCTGGGCTGAGGGCAAGGGTGCTGGTTTGGGGGCACAGAGGGCCCACCAGCATTTCAGCTCGTGGGCTCGGCCTGGAGACAGAGGGCAAAGAGATTCAGCTTCCAGTCCCGAGTCCACGAGCGCGGGAGCCTGAGGGTGCGGAGCAGCAGGAATGGGCATCCCCGAGGAGGGAGCTGGAAAACGGGACACAAAGGGCCCAGAAGCCAATGTAGAGCAAATGCTTCCCTAAAAGGGAAGGAAAACCAACCAAGCTCGCGAGGGAACAGTATTCTGAGAAAAGGGGATTCGGAAAGACGGACAGCAAGACCAACCCAGTCACTGACGGACAGACGGATGCGGAACCCGCAGGCCCAGAACTCAGGAACAGAAACAGAAACCGGAGGACCACGGGGACGAGCCCGGCGTCCACCTACGCACAGGACTAAGGACTAGACGTGAAGGGATGTGATGTCAGAGACCTGACAAAACGCAGATACTAAATCTATACCGGGTTGGGGGGGGGGGGGTGGCAAGCAAAGAACCCCTGCAGAAGAGTGATTTCTTTACAGCAGGCAGTTCACGAACATGGTCGAAAGTTAAGATGTATTTTCAAACTACGAATTCTTGAAGTTTGTTTTTAAGGTTTCATATACTTAGGAGAATTTTAGAGAGAGACATAGTTTGCATTTTTCTCAAGCCAGTACTTTTTTCTCCTGAAAATTCCAATAGAATTCAATTTGACATTGGACTGAAGATAGCAGTGCTGTGTGGCCCCAGTCACTCAGCCCACCCTGCTCACTGCACCGCCCTGCACACAGAGAGCTGGGGACACGTGTACAATGGCTCTTTCTGGGTTGCGGGATGATTTGTACTTTTCTATAATGCTTAGACTTTAAGGAAAACAAAAAAGGACCTTATAAAAGAATTCTATTTCGACAGGAAGCGTGAAGGAATTGAGAGTCATTTTAGCATGCTTGTCCCGCACCCCCTGACAGAGAAAGGCACCCAGACTCTCGAAGACACAGCATCCCCCTTCCTAAGTACAGAACTGAGGCAGCTGCAGGAAGTAATGGGGCATGTCACACTGGTGAGGGCCAAGGCAGTAGTAGTCAACTAGTTCAATGCTTATTTTTAAACTGCTATATTAGATCCTTTCTTTACTTTGCAAACAAAATAAGCTCTACATGACTTCAGGAGATAAACACAAAACTTGAAACAGGAAAAACTATCAGAAGAAGACATAAGCAAATAGCTGTCCTTATGCTAGAAAGATAGCCTTCCTAGACATAAAAGCACAGAAAGGAACCTAAGGGGGGAAATGCCTATAGATTCTAACACTCAAAATTGAAGTAACCACAGCTAACATTATTCTCAATGGTGAAAAATGGAAAGCTTCTCCCCTAAGATCAGGAATAAGGCAAGCATGCCCACTCTCACCACTTGTATTCAACACAGTTCTGGAAGTCCTAGCCACGGCATTAGGCAAGAAAAGACACAAAAGGCACCCAAATTGCAAAGGAAGAAATAAAATTATCTTTGTTCACAGATGACATGATCTTATATATAGTGAGCCCCAAAGAGTCGACCAAAAAAACTGTTAGAACTAATAAATGACTTATAGCAAAGTCGTAGGGCACAAAATCAACACACAAAAATCACTGGTTTTCTATAGACTAACAATGAACAATCCAAAAAAGAGAGAAAGAAAATTCCATCTACCATACCATCAAAAAGAATAAGATAACCAAGGCAAGACTTGTACACCGAAAACTACAAAACATTTCTGCAGGAAATTAGGTATCGGTAAATGGAAACACATCCCGAGCTCATGGACTGGAAGACAGTACTGTTAAGATGTTGATACCATCCCAAGCAATCTTCAGATTCAATGCCATCCCTACTGAAATTCCAACTACTTTTTTTACAGAAATAGAAAAACCCATCCTAAAATTCATATGAAATCTCAAGGGACCATAAATAGTCAAAACAATCTTGAAGAAGAAGAAGAAATTAGAGGTCTTACACTTCCTGATTTCACGGCCACAGTCATCAAAACGGCATGGGACGGGCACAAAGACAGACGTATAGACCAGTGGAACAGAGAAGAGGGCCCAGAAATAAACCATCACATGTGTGTCAAATGATTTTTCACAAAGGTGCCAAGACCACAAAATAAGGAAAACACGGTAATTTCAACACATGATTTTGGGAAAACCGGGTATCTGTATACAAAAGAATAAAGTTGGACTATTACTTAGCACCATATATAAAAATTAACTCAAAATGGATCAAAGACCTAAACATAAGACCTAAATCTATAACATTTTTAGAAGAAAACGTTGGGGAAAAGCTGCGTGACACTGGATTTGGCAATGATTCCCTGGATCACGACACCAAAAGCACGGGCAACCAATGAAAAACTAAACTGGCCTACACCCAAATTTAAAACTTCTGTGCGTCAAAAGACGCGATCAATAGAGTGAAGAGGCAACCCACAGAATGTAAGAAAATACTGGCAAATCACATATCTGATAGTGGGTTAACACCCAGAATATATTTTTTAAAACTCTTACAACTCAACAACAAAAAGACAAATAGGGCTATTCAACAGAGGCACAGGACTGGAATAGACACTCCTCCAAGGAAGGTGCAAAAAGGGCCAATAAGCGCATGACAAGATGCTCGGCGTCACCAGCCATTAAGGAAATGCACGTCTAAACCGCAGTGAGGTACCACTTCACACCCATCATCTTAAAATAGATAAACAAAATAACAGGCGCTGGTGAGAACGCGGAGAAATCAGAGCCCTCGCGCACGTCGGTGGGAATGTAAAATGGTGCACCCACCTTGGAAAACAGTACGGTGGTCCCTCAAAATATTCAAAATAGAATTCGCCATACGATTC